AGAAAGAGAGAGATTTGAATTATTTGGGGTTGTAGAGTTTGGTGTCTAGTTTGGAATACTGGCAGGGAGCAGAGCTCTAAGTTGTCTCCGCAAGATTTTTCCAGAAGGACTTTTAGGGATGGAATCCACGAAGAAGACGCGATTAATCCTCTTATAAAACACAACCTGCATCCCACGTCCTCAATAGTTACAATCCATGTATCACATCTCCGAGATTTCAATTAAGATTAAACTATTAAGTTAGGCTTTATTAGGCTTTTGAACTTATAAACATAAAAAATCTCTTAGGTTTTCTATAAATGTCTAAGCCTTGTGATATGTAATGGCTTCCACTCAAGGTTTTAAAACATCTCTACCGAAGAGAGGTTTCTACACCCTTATAAGAAACATTTCCCTCTCCAACCGATGTGAGATTTTACAATCTACCCCTTTTGGGGACCAGCATCCTCGCTGCACATTGTCTGGTGACTGACTCTATACCATTTGTAATGGCTCAAACTCACGGCTAGCAGATATTATCCTTTTTTTGAACTTTTCCTTTCGAGTTTCCCCTCAAGGTTTTAAAACGTGTCTACTGGAAAGAGGTTTCCACACCCTCGAAAGGAAAGTTTCATTCCCCTCTCCAACCGATTTGGGATCTCACAATCAACCTCCCTTGTAGGCCTAGCATCCTCGGCACACCGCCCAGTGTCTAACTCTAATACTATTTGTAATGGCTCAAGCCCACCGCTAATAGATATTATCTTTTTAGTTTTCCCTTTCAATCTTCTAGTGAGAAAAGGTTTCCACACTCATTTAAAGAATGTTTTGTTCCCTCCCCTACCAACTTGAACCCAAATCACAATATTAAAAGTTGAACGCTATTAGAATTTTTGAAAGGGTATTGATCAAATAGACGTTAACTCTTTTTTTTTTTTTTAAGGTAGGCATAGACATTAAAGGTTCAGGAATTATAGCCAAATAGGAAGGGAAACGAAAGAGCAGGGGCCTACGAGGAGTTATATCATAAACGCAAGGTTACCTAATTATTCGGTGAAATCGACGCTAAAATCTCCATCAATGGGTAAAAGCTAATAAGATATCAAACTTAAAAACTTGAAATTAAGGCCAAAATTGGAGACTTCACCTGTTTGGAGATGTATTGCTTAATTTCATCCTCGGTGATGTTGGAACCATCTGACCGGACAATGAACGCAACAGGAACCTCTCCAGCTACTTCATCTTTCATACTGAATTAAAAAAAGTAGAGAGTAATTAAACCGAGAAGTTTGAGGGTGAAGGAGCAGAATCGAGAATGCTGACATACGGTATAACCGCAACGTCGACAATGTGGACGTTGGAAATGAGCAGGCCTTCCAACTCCGCCGGCGCTACCTGGAAGCCTTTGTATTTGATCAGTTCCTTGAGACGATCGACGATGAAGAGCTCATCGTCGTCGTCAACTAAACCCATGTCGCCGGTGTGCAGCCATCCGCTTTCGTCGATCATACCCTTCGTGGCCTCTTCGTCGTTGAGGTACCCTGGTTCGTGTTGAGTTCAGCCAATCAAAACTCAGACGGTGAAACAGAACACACTAATGTAATGGGCTCTCTCGATTTTATCGGGCTTGGTCTGGTCATTACAATGAGCCCATTAGGCCCAATGACTGCGAGGTGGGCCCATATTGACGCTTCCAAATCCAAACAAATGAAATGACGTCGTTGGCTGAGCGGTATTAATAAGTAACGTTTTTTCTTGTGGAATGGTTAGGCGGCATTAATTACTTACATCACCTGCCACTACCTCCTTTGTGTCATATACATTATAAACCCCTTGATTACACTCATTTCTAGTCTAATTAATATTTTTATTAATGAATATTAAAAAAAAAAATATATATATATATATATATAGTCGTTGAAATTATTAGAAATCAATCTTAATCGCGTGAGTTAAGGTATGAATTTCACAAGAATAATGTATCGCATACCTTTCATCATTTGAGGACTTCTAACATAAATCTCTCCGGGTTGATTCCTTGAAAGAGAAACTCCATTTTCGGGGTTTACAATCTTCATCTCTGCATTTCTCATTAATGTCCCACAAGCTCCCGACTTGATTGCGAATTTCTCCCTTGCAAGTGCTAATGACATTGTTAACACTGATCCTGACTCAGTCATTCCGTATCCCTATAATTATTTTAAAACTTCATTTTGTAACGATGAAATTGACAGTTTTGCATAGAACTAGAATGGATGGTATTAGTTATTTACTTGGGCGAGAATGGCATGGGGAAGCTTGGCTCTAAAGGCATCTTCAAGATTCTTCCCCAGCGGTGCGGCTCCCGACAACACGATCCGTATGGACGACATGTCGGAATGGTCTACAACCGGACTCTTGACCATTGCGAGTACAATAGGAGGTACAACGGTAGCAATGGTGACCCTATATTTGGGAACCAATGCCACAAGGGAATTAATGTCGAATTTCTGGACGATTAAAATCGCAGCTCCCACTCGCAACGACGTCATCACGATCGAGCTCAATGAGTAGATGTGAAACAAAGGAAGCACACACAGAACGACGTCGTTACTTCGGATATGGAAGTGTGGATTTTCGCCGTCCACTTGTTGAGCCACGCTGGTCACTAATCCCTTATGAGTCAGCATAACTCCTTTTGGGAGGCCTGTCGTGCCAGACGAATATGGCAACGCAACGACGTCGTCCGGGCTGAATTTCACATCCGCCATTTCCTCCTCTTTTGCCTCATCAGTCAACGACGTAAAATGACATCCACCCTCCGGTGGAGAGTCGATGAATATCACTTTCAAAATCCCCTGGTTTTCCTGAGGCAGCTTTTTCACTTTTTCCGCGAACGCGGCTTGGGTTATGATCAGCTTAGCGCCGGACGACGCCGCTTGCTTCGCAATCTCCGCTGGCGTGAAGAACGGGTTCGCCATGGTGGCGATGGCGCACGCAAAGGAAGCGCCGAGGAAAGCGAAAACGAATTGTGGAGTGTTTTGGAGAAGGAGCATGATGACGTCCCCTTTTCCGATGCCGAGCTTATGAAAGCCGGCGGCTACTCGGCGGGCCGTTACGTGGACTTCACCGTACGTGTAAATGTCACCGGTGGCAGCATTGATTAGACATGGATTGTGTTTGAATTTGGAGATTCTTTCGAAGCAATATGTATGCAAGGGAAGGTGGTTGGGGATGGTGAGGTCCGGGAGCTTTGACCGGAATATGAATTCCGGCGAGGAATCGGCAGCCGCCATTGGAGAAGTGTATAGATAATGGGTTTTTCGTATTACATCTGGAAATGGTAAAGCATATATAATAGAATTGATGGAAATATAATTAGTTCAGATTTGTCTTTAGTAGAAAGGTTAAATGAATATGGTTTCAATCCTTTGTCATTAGATGAGCCTTTCATGGATTTTTGTATTTTTATGCCCAATTTTAAAAAATATAAAATAAATAAATCAAAGCTTATAACATAAAGATATTATTTATTTCCACCTTTATGTTGAAAATAAGTGATTAAAAAACGAAGAATAAAAATAGAATATGATTTCTATTTTCTACGGACCTTTTCAAGTCGTAATAAAGACAACTGTCACCTTGCCAAGACGATGCTTCATTTTTCCTTTACAAACACATTGCATATTTTTATTTTTTTTAATGATGTTCTTTAAGGTATAGTAATGTTACCCTATTTTATCATCATAACTCTCTTTACTTTTCAACGCGTGGATTTCACTTATTTTTAATAAATGATTTTGTCAAAATAAATAATTTTCTTCAGGTGATTCTTGACTTTGAAGGTGTACATCTTGATAATGATGGGGAGATCACGAGTTTATAAATAAGGAATACTGTCTCTATTAGTACGAGATATTTTGGAAAAATAAAAAATAGAGGCATGAGAGCTTATATTCAAAGTGGACAATATGATATTAATGTAAAGGATTGTTGTTGCTAAGTCGATATGAAAGCTAGGAGAAATTCATCATAATTTGTGAAGATGAGAAAAAGAAACAAAAAAAAAAAAAAAAACTTGAAAGCTACGACACAACATCTACCACTCAAATGTGTGAATAGATCTAAAAATATTATTACTAGAAAACAATACAGAGTTAAGAATGAAAAATAAAATTGGATCGAATGTTCAATTTTCATTGATATTAACAATGTTTAAATATGATACAAGCTACCAACTAATACTTACAAATATAAAAAATATAAACTAATTAAATTTTAAGAATAAAACAAAATATACTATTAATCAAATTATAAAGAAAAAATATTAACGGACGAATATCTAAGATATATTTTATAATTAATATATATTTCAAATGTTAACGATTACGTATATGTTGACTAATTCAAACTAGTAATAAGTTGACGTAATATATAATGAATATGAGACATGGAACCGTTAAAAGGGCGGTCGGTCGTATTGCCCGGGAAGGTCAAGATTATCTGCTGAAAAATATGGTGGGAAGAAGAAAGCAACAAATGCATTGCATCACATCAAAAAACGGCAAAGATTGCTCTTTAGATGATTGAGGCTTTTGTCGTGGTCGGAAACTATAGAAACGGTAGGTTCCACGTCACTTTCACGGACATCATAATAAGACCATGCATTCCTATTAGAATTTACTAGTGTTTATGGTTCAAACTAAGCAAATGGGATAAAGTAAAAATAAAATAATTACTAAGTTAATCTCCCATTAATTAGGAAGGTGTAAAGAAGTTTCTTATAATCCTAATTAAAACAATCAGAAAATGAATCTTTTTTAAGTAATTACCTCACGTAATCATGGAAGCCAAAAAGCTAATTAAACAAATCAAATTAAATTAAGACTGGGTCAAACTTCAGACTTTCCACGGTCTACGAATCCCACACGCATTACTTTCTCTTGTTTCTCAAGTTGATACCGAAGCTTCTCACCAATATCCACAACGTTCTTGCCGGCTAATACCATTATAAATACCTCCACGCTATCCATCATTTTAACGGTCAGTCTACAGCAACAACAACAGCTAAGGAAGGAACACAAAAAGTCAAATAGATCGGAGAGCACAAGAGGAAGAGAATCGAAAATGGCGGCGACTAGCTTGCTGGGTCGGCTGAGGAAGGCGGTGGAGAAGCTGAAATTTGTGATGAAGTTCAACATCCAAAGCTGGCGTTTGGCGGCGATGTTGGGGAGGACTTCGTCGAGAAACCTCCGGCTTAGCTTCAATGAAAGCCCGGGGTTGAAGGTCTGTAAAGAGGATATTATAGAGTCGTCTGAACACTCGAATTCTTCATCTCGAAGAGGACTACAAAGGACGCCAAGCTATGCTTCTGAAGACGATGTGGACAAGCGAGCGGAGGCTTTTATAGCGAATTTCTATCGCCAGCTTAGGATCGAGCGCCAGGTTTCGCTTGAGCTTCGATACTGCCGTGGGAGTAGCTCTAAGCAGCTTATAGTTTCTCCTTGATTTCGTCGTGAATATCGAGTAAGCTTTTCAATTAATGGAGTCTCTTTGATATTTTTTTGGTTTTTCAAAAGGATCTCCGATTTGGGATTCATTATCGACCGTTCCTTTGGTTGATGATGCGATTCGATTCGATTTGATTCAATTCAATCCAATAGTTTGGCTACGAGGAAGAAGTAGAAAACCCATTTGATTTGGTTGGATGAGAATTTGAAGGCAATGGTGGGGATATAAGGAATTTGATTTTTCAATTTTCAACAATGTTTTTATTTATTGGTGAATAATGTCCATGAATAATGAAAGAATGCAATTATTAGTTTATTATTTCTATTGTATTTATTATTTTTATTTCAGAAAAGTATAATAAATTAACAAAATGAGTTTGTTATAGGAGGAAGTTAATTACTATTTTTGGATGCTTATGTGCAAGTTGAGAAAATGACTTTATTTATTGGATTATTATTATTATTCATTCAATACGTCTAATTCATATTGTTTTGATTTTTAATATATATAAAATTTGTGGTTTTAATTGAAAAAATACGTAATTTATTCCATTTTTAAAATATTATTTTAATTTTCTAAAAATTATAATATTTTGAAAATACCTTCATCTTTTTTTGTAAAAATATTAATTCTATATTTTATAAAATTGAAACCTAAATAGTGGCGATGTAAATCACTACTTCCCTCGTGTGGTTTAAGAAAGAAGAAACTTAACTTGGCTAATAGCCGAGCCGCTTAGCCAGTATCATAAGTTGCATAACAGGTAACGTAACCGGTCGGTGACGCATATTACAACACAGACAAATTAAAAAATGCCAATTCAGCACTTGCGTTTCACATCAACCAATCAAGACGTAAATGGGTGCAACGTGGCATTATAGTGGCGATGCAATCAGTACTCAAATTGACGCAGCATTCACCTGGACGCGCGCCAACCTGGCATCCTCCTCGTTGCCCATCGCTCGATACAGTGTGGTGATATCATCATTCCTCTAGGGCTTTCAGGACTCGGGGCTTGTCGGCGATTCCTGCTTCGAAACCCTTTGGATTAATTCGCAGCGGGTATGTCATTTTCTTTACTGTTTTCCGATATATTGGTGTTCAAATCCTCTACCGGCTTAGCTGATTCGAGTTTACATGATTATACTGGGAAATCAATGGCCCTTTAGCGACCTAATTGTTAATCTTTTTCTTAAGCATGACGTTTAGCTTGCGTATTGCATCATTTCTTTCTTCTTAGGTAAAGGTAATCCTCGCTTTGTTTGATCTTCAGCCTGCCTTTTCGTTTATTTTGTTTTTATTATCCTGACAAACCGTTTGATCTCAATTTAGCGATAAACGTCGTTTAGCATAGAACCGCTGATTCGTTACATCGAAATGGAGATTTCATTTCCCTTTCTGCATGGTAGGGGGGGACCTTAGTTTGTCAACAATGTCCTGGAAATCGAAGTGGCCTATGTGAGATGATAAGGACTCGAAGGTTTCAGACGACATTTTATCTATTGAATGCTTTGAAATACAGAGTTTAGACTATTGATTGTACCTCGATTCTTAGATTTTCCTTCTCGTAGAAGTTGAAAGATGCTATAGTCATATTGCCTTCCGAGAAGAATAATTACATCACTTCAAATATCTTAATTTACGGGAGAAAACATGCTGGGGAATTTCGTTGTTACTTTGTAAAATGCCACTTCATGGGACATTTGAATGAAAGTAAGAAAAGCCATATAAGAAACATGCTGATCACCCAAGGGCCAAAGGTCACTTTCTGATGCCCATTGCTTGAATTTGCGTTCTGTTGGGTTTGTTAGGGATGCTTCCACAAAAATGTTCTGACACGGAATAGGCTCGGAGAGCTTCTCTCGTGTCCTGTATCCAAAGTTATTCATTGATGGATGGTGAAAGCGATGTGAGACCTTGGGTCTTTCTTTTATTCCTCAGCTTGTTGCTTCCTTACGTTGCTAGTATAGAAGGTTAATGCTTTGTGCACGAGCTTACAGGAATTTAGCCTTGTTGTTTTACTCTAAGAAGACAACTTGGAAAGGAAATTATAAAATGGAAGTGTAACATTTGTAATTGTTATAAGTTTATAATAAACCTGATACACATTTATATCTACCAGTATCTCATTCTCATCTTTTCACTTCAATGTGATTTCTTTGATTTTCTTAAGGAGGTCGTACATAGATGGAAATTTGAACCTGATTTCGTCGATTTCCTTTTTTCTTTTTTTGAATATTTATTCTGCTATATCAATATTGACTGACACAGTATTTGTCCGTTTTTCTTCCTTGATATCTATGCTTGGCCTAACTATGGTATAAAACTACACCTTTATCCAGGAACTTAAAGACTTTGACCATTTCGTGGAATCATGGGCAGTCCTCCAGCACCATTTTCAGATATCGGCAAAAAGGCCAGAGGTACATACCTTAGATATTTTTCCTTGTGCATCTGAGAGGCTTATGTTAACCAGTTTCTATTTCTACTAATTTTTTTCTAAAGAAGTGTCTTGTTTCTTTCCTTTTTTTTTTTTTTATTTTTTATAAAGGGTTTGTTTCAATGACATTTAATATCCTTTCATACTATTCACAAAGAAGATGTTTTGGTGGTTTGTAATATCTCGCATGAGTCATGACACCAATAAATGATTTCCCCATTTGTACCCAAATATTCTTTCGTTTTTCTCAATGAAAATTGTTCTTAATAGTGTTTTAAAAAGTGTCTTAAATATATGCTGTAATTCTATTTGATGTGAGACATGGATCCTTGTGTGATGGTCTAACTCATAGTTGTAAATTCCAAATCTTACTTTCACTATGATGGTGACCTTGCAGACCTCTTGACTAAAGATTACAACTTCGATCACAAGTTTACCCTATCACTACCGAACTCCAATGGAATGGTATTATTGGTTCAAATTTATTTCTTTTTCTCGTGATTGATGGTCTTCCCTATTTTTACCCATATATTCCCATTCTTTAAATGTGGTATCCAGCAGTTTAACTCTTTCAATGATATTGATATGTTTCATAACTTCAAAACTTTCATACTGAAATATCTTTATTTTGATTGACTGTCTCTTTTTTTGTGAATTTGCAACTGATAGCAGTTTCCCGATTTCATCGATGTATCTGAAATGTATAGAAATCAATTTAACATGTTTCCTAGGCATTAACTCCAATTCTATAAGTGTCTTATCAGAGTTTTATCTCCATAAATCAGGCATGGAAAACACCGTATATTTGTTTCATGGTCAGTGGTTTCATTATATATCTATATCCATGCACCACCACTGTTCTGGTGTTCTGTATAAGCCTTCAAGTCATCCTTTTCCTGTTGTCTTCTGGCAACTTATGTAAGAAATATTAGTTGATTGTGGCATGAGCCGCTTTACTGATAATTTTTTCTCACAAAATTGCTCTAGCCCTTTGCGCACCTCAGACTACGTTTTTCCCGTGTTTCTTTGTTTAGAACTAAATCCAGCAAATAACATAGCTATTGAATATTTAGACAGAACTTCATTCCTAAGTAGGTCACTAGCCTATCTGTTCTCGTTCTTCCATATTTATTTTGTTTTCTTTTGTTTCAATTTAACCTTTTAGAACCTTTACACTAGCCAAGGGGATCACAATGTAATATTTGCTGTTTTCTTTTCATTAGTATTCATCCAAAAATGCCAAGGAATATAATATCTTTGCATGACGACAAGATTTGGTTTTCTATCTAAATGCAATTTTAACTTTTCTTTGACAAACTCTACAAGGCTATTTGATCTAATCTTCCCAAACTGAATTACATAATGCAGGGACTAACTGCTACAGGATTGAAGCGGGATCAAATTTTTATTGGTGATATCAGTTCTCTGTACAAGAGTGGAAAGACAACCGTGGATGTGAAAATTGATACTTATTCAAATGTAATGACGAACAACTTGTCCTTCTGACTACTTTCTAACTTTTTATGAGCTCTAGATATACACTTATGCTACGGTTTTTAGGAGGCCTTTTCAAGTTGCTAAATTTTCTATATATACTGTTCAAGAAAAATAGTCGTTATGTTCAAAGCCAAAGGCAACAAGATTTTACTGAACTTAACATTTTTCAGGTTTCTACAAAAGTGACCGTGACTGATATCTTACCAACTACCAAGGCCACGTTTAGCTTCAGAATACCTGACCATAAGTCTGGCAAGGTTCGTGAATTGTATGGATACTTTTTTTTTCATCAGAAGAAAAAAATCAGGACTGTTGATGTTCGAATTTGAGATAATTGAAAATCAGTCGGACAATCTCCAGTAACGTATGTAGATGAAGAAAATGCCCTTCATTCAATGTATTCCTGGTGTAATGAAGTCCAGTATTGGTGTCTTGAGTCCCTGGTACTCGCTGATCATTGACATGCTCCATTTACACATCAGTCTAGCAAAAATCCATTTAGTGTGATATGCTGTTATTTTTTTTTTCACTTTCAAACATCATTGGACATGTTAGAAAAGCTTGATTCAGAGTATCATATCCTACATTACCTGGGGTATAGCTGCTCTGTCAAAATGTTTGCAGCTTTTTTTAATGTTAGACCTTGGAATTGTGGGAATCCTGCATATGATCTCTGTACTTGGAGTTATCTGATTTATTAACTGTAAACGGAATACTAACAGGAATTTCATGCTAATGACTTTATTTATGTACTGCATATTGCAGCTGGATCTTCAGTACTTCCATCCTCATGCAGCCATTGATTCCAGTATTGGTCTCCACCCCAGTCCACTTTTGGAATTTTCAGCTGCAATAGGTAGTAAGAATTTTAGTTTAGGTGGTGATGTGGGATTTGATACTACTTCTGCTTCATTCACAAAGTACAATGCTGGAATCAGCTTGAATAAGCCAGACTTTTCTGCGGCTCTTATACTGTAAGTTCTACTTAATCACTAATTGTGGCTCCTAGCACGTGAACAAACTAGTTAATTCTTGCAGCTCATATAGGTGTTCTTACTCCAAATGAAGTCGATATGAATTTGATTTCATTTCCCTATTTCTATCTTGTTTTTTAGTGTTGAACTAAAATTTTATTGATGTTGATGCAGAACCGACAGAGGACGGGCTCTGAAGGCATCTTATATTCATTCATTGGATCCCCTTAATGAGACTATGGTAGCTGCCGAAATGACCCACAGGTTCTCCACCTTAGAAAACTCCTTTACCATCGGAAGTTCTCATGTCCTGGATCCAGTAACGCTTATAAAAACACGTTTCTCCGACAAAGGAAAAGCTGCTATGCTTTACCAGCGAGAATGGAGGCCTAAATCTCTGGTAACCCTGTCAGCTGAGTACGACCCGAAAGCTATCGATTCATCTCCCAAGCTAGGCCTGGCTATTGCTCTGAAGCCTTGATCTGAGGAACCAGCAAGGTCATTTCAATGAATTGAACATCCATAACTTTGGTCTCATTATGATTTTCCACAAGTATTCATTATGGAATTTCACAATTTGTGTTTGGAAGAGGAGGTTTTCTTCCGTGTATTCATGAGATATTATTTCGAGGCATAACTAGGATTAGAGGAACCAATTTTGGCAACAAAAAAAAAAAAAAAAAA